ATTTCAAAACTTGGGCTGTTGATTGACAGTACTCAGCGGAAGTCCATGAGGGGTGGTGGATCCATCACAATGCCCTGAAGCTTACATGAACTTTTTTAAGTTTACAAAAGAGACAAAAGTTGCTGGGCATTGGTGGCGCACGTCTTTAATCCCAGTACTCGGGAGGCAGAGGCGGCCTCCAAAGCTACACAGAGAAACCCTGTCTCGAAAAAACAACAACAAAAAGAGACAAAGGTTTTAGACATATTAGCATTGCCATTATTTATAACCTGCACTGGTACACTCGTTGTGTCTGTAAACAGCTGGAGAAGTCTCATGCCCAGCGGTGCCAGTGCTGGGATGATAGGCAGGTGCCACCTCACCCAACTATTTCCTTCCTTTTTTAAAAAAAGTATTTATTTGTATGTGGGGGGGGTCAGAGGACAATTTTGAGAAGTTTGTTTTTTTTTTTTTTTCCTTCTATCATGTAGATCCTGGATGTGGAACTGAGGTTGTCAGGGCTGATGGTAAATGCCACCCTTCCTTTTTTTTTTCTTATTGTGTAGCTCTGGGTCATAGGGATTGACACTTAGGTCATCAGTAAGAGCACAGGGCTTTCCCCAGTGAGCCATCTCATCAGCCCACCTAAGAAACGTTATTCAGCAGGCACCTTGGGGTTGGTGTCCTAGCTAGTTTTATGTCAACTTGACACAAGCTAGTCATCTGAGAGGAAGGAACCCCGATTGAGAAAACGGGCTGACTGGAGGCCAGCCTGTAGGGCATTTTCTTAGTGATTGATGAGGAGAAGCTTAGTGGGAAATCCTTATGAGAGCCCATGCCTGTGAATGTACACAGCAGCAGGTATGAGTTTGTGTTGGGGGAGGGGTGTCTCAGGGAACCAGTAAAGATTCCCTGGTACTTTTCCATGTGGCAGCCCATAGCCCATAGAGCCCCCAGAAACTAGGAGGCAGATGCCTTTAAGAAAATCTGGGCCTTTTACCCTCAGGTACTCCTGGAGGCGCTTTCTGGGCTCATGTAAATCTTGGACACAGTAGAGTTAACATAGGCTAGAAGATGGCTCAGGCCACCTCATGTCTGTGAGGTATTTTAATACTTTGCATGCTATCTAGACACATAAGACTTGTTCTTGGATTATGGCCATGGTGGATGGATGCTGCAATGGGGCAGAGCTCA